CAACACAGTACCAAGGAGATACGCCAATTTGTTGCATGGCTTTGTCGCTTCAGCACTGTCATGGATCAACTCCATTCCAGCAAGACTGAGAGGCTGAATGACAGCTGATGCTCACTTGAAAGAACAGGTACGGATCGTATAGCGCATATAGACACTTCTTGTGTCAACCCGATGAAAGCAACAACTTGGGAACCTATGCAGAATGCACCGCCAGGCATGCCTGAAAATTAAACAGCAGATAAAAACCAACCTCTTTTGGTGTGGTTGTTACAATTCCAAATTGAACAACCATGAGTCAGCCAGAGATGCATGTGCTGCAGAGGCCATCCACTTGTATTCCAGAGATACACTCTGAATCACGTTCACATGGAAGTGGCATGCCCCAAAGACTGGGTTTCTGGACCAACCCCGTAGTGGTTTGAAACTCGGTCAGCACCGGAAGTGTGGGCTGACTTCCGTCTCCCTTCCGCGTTCGCGTGGGTTCGGGAACGGCACCTGCGACGGGAGGTCCTCCTTCTTTCAGCTGGACCTGCCGTCCGCAATGGTCGCGGGACTGGGCGCGTCCTTCGTGGCACCTGAGCTGAGCTTCCGCGCGCGCGTGCGCGCGACCGAGGGCCTGGACCCGTCCGGGGGGGAGAGGCGTTTGGGACGTCCAACACCGCGGCCGTAGGAGCTGGGGAGACCTGGATGGGACCCAAAGAGAGACGCGACGTGGAAGGTTTGCACCCAGCTGAAGAGTGGAGATAGCTATTGGCTTCCCCACTAAGAACCAATAGGATCCAATAGGTGGAACTGAGGCAACTGAGGGAGTTGGCCTCTTTTGCACCCTTGGTGAAGATCCTAAGCTCTTAGGCTTTTCCAACCCAAACCACTCACCGAAGATCCGAGCGTTCTACCGCCGCCCGCGGCGAACACGAAGAACTGCGCCGCGCGAACCGCATTCGCGCGAGGTGGTGCTACGCCACGGCGCGCCGCCGATGTTGCGGGCTGCCCTGCAGCCATGAGCGCATGAGTTGCGCGGCCATCCTGGCAGAGGCCAGGATCCTGGCAGGTGGGCCTGGCAGTGGGTCCTTCGGATGGAAAGAAGGCTGAAGGTTCGATGGTGGATTCCTGGAGCGTTCGAGATTGCTGGGAGTTGTCCGAGATGAGAAGTCAGTGGAAGAGTGTTCTGATCATTCTCACAAGTATGGCAGGGGTTGAAGGGGTGTCAACCCACATCCATCGTAAAACTACAGGAAGCAAGGAGAGTGCATCATGTGTTTTATCATTCTATAGAGGGACTTTTTCCTACCCACTCAGCGGGTCTCCTTGAACCATTTTGGGAGATCGGTTTGCCCACGCAAAAGAGCAAGTGGAATAAGGTTGCCCTCCCTGAAACAAATATGGAAGCGGACAATGGCCCCTTGGAAGACTATGTTCCTCTACTAAGAGATCTAAGAGGGGGGTGTCCACTTCCATGATTGTTGCAGGGACGGTAACTTCTAAGTTCTATATATAAGGCTATAACATGCAATAACCAGGATTTTCCAAAGAAACTGAGGGCGTCAGTTTTCGTAACCAAGACATTGATAGACACTATTACGTACGTGCCGTGTTTGGTCGTTTCCCGAATTCACTCGCACGATGCGCTCCCTTTTTGTTTTAGACATGCATAATTCGGACTAATTCGGACAAGAATCGTTTTGAGGCAAGCAAGAAGAATCGATCCATTCTTCGAGCAATCCACTTAGGATAGTGTTCAGATTTTCGGTTCACCGCTTGCATCTGCAAGCGCACATGTCTGCGATCGACACGGAGTCGATGCGTTCATGGAAGACATGAAGCAAATGCCATGTTTTTTCCGATTTTCCAAAAAGGATCCTAGGAAAACCGATGGAAAGCAACCATTTTCCAATGGACATCCATTTTCCAAAACCATCGGTTTTCCATTGGACTTGAACAACGACAGCTTGGGGAGATCCAGTTGGGGCTTTCCTCTCTGTTGCAGCAGTGCTTCGCCGAAAAAAGGCGACCGATCGACGTGGAAAAAAGGCGACTCTGCGCAGCTCTTCGGAGGACGACCGTGTCGACCACCTCGACCGACTTCCTGTTCGAAGTCTTGAGTGGCAAACCATCCGACTGGTTGAGGATGCCGCGAGAGCGTTCGACCATTCCTTTTTGATCCTTTTTGGAACATCCTTAAGCGCCCTGGCAGACCTGTTGAATAGCAGGCGCCTGAACCAGACGTTCTTTGCTTGCAAGACTCCGTGTCACATAGCGAGCAAGTTTGCATGACAGCTGCACCAGCTGCCAACAGCTGCATCTCCGCCACACTAGGGTTGATCTGGCTGGCATCCTTCGAAGCCTTCTTGAGCCTTGATCAAGGAAGATGATCTTCCTCCTCCATATGGATCAAGGAAGTTCATTTTCCTCCTATATACATATTGTTGGTTCAGTGACTCCAGATCTGCTCTCCACCGAAGCCAAGGCCTCCACCGCCCGGTGGGAAGGGTGCTCCACACGGTCCCTGCCCAGGCTGGGACTCACCTGCGCCCCTCTCCTTGATCTCCAAGGGTTTCGGGCCCCAAAAGTCATGACACACCCCAGCAGATCGGGGGTCGGGGGTGGCCGCCGGGGTGCCACTCCTAGTCGTGCTCGGCCTTCTCCCATGGCTTTGGGACGGACGCAGTGAGTGGCGGGGGGGGGGGGGTGGCGCCGATTGTCGGCCGAGCGCCAGAAGACAGCTGGGAGAGGGCACCAGACCAGACACACCAGGCACCTTGGGGGCGCAAACAAGGTGTCTCGCGATGTGCCACACATTTGCAGCCACCAGTTTGGTTACCCCAAGAGCAGTGGGATTGTAAAGGTTTTCGAAGTGTTCAGTCTCCAGTCAACAAGATCATAGTTACTTGCTCATGATTTAATTTTGCCGATCAACTCATTTCGAGTCAGAGCCCCGCGGACCAATCGACCGAACAACAGATCAACCATACCAACCATACCGACCTCCACAGACGATCATCCCAAATCAATCCCTTCAGAGTCACTTCCGGATGGTCCTCTCTGATCGCGACCGACCGTCGATCGACCGTCGATCGACTGCATGACGAGACGTGGCGAGTAGCCATGGAGTACCCATGGAGTACCCGGCCTGCGAGAACATGGCTCATCAAAGCTTAGCTCGATCTTTCTCTGCATGGCAGGGGTGCATGGGGAACACTGAAAAAGACACATTCTCGAGTCATGGGTTCTACAATCATCCTGCGCTGATTGTAGATGGAATATGATGGAATATGAACCCATCCGAGAACATGACAAATTCCTATTGGTTTGGATCTGGAGATTTCACCATCTCCTCTTTGCTGCGGTATGACACTAAAGCTTTGAGCAACGTACACCCAGGTCTCTTGCCACACCTGAACCAACTCACGCCACGCACAGGTAGGGCTCCACCACCGACAGGAGCGGAGAAACGCCATGTCGTCGGTTTGCAGCGGTCTATTTTTCACATCTGATTTCTTTGGGCATACATCAAGATAGCGGATGCGGATATGCCTGATCCATGATCATGATCCATGTTGATCCATGTTGAAGGACTTGGGTGACTCAACACCCCCAAGACATGGCTGCCCAAGACATGGCGGCTTCAACTAGGGATCCCAGGTTCCCCACCTGCATCGACGGATCGTTCGCCGGTTTGGGCATGCCCCCCCCCCTGCAAGGTACCGGTGGAACCGGGGGGCCGGGGTGAAGGACAAAGGATGTGGTCACTACTTACAACTAGATGCAGGAGAAGTCTGTTGTAGGAGAAAGTCCGACCAGAGGAAAAGGCCACATCAATCCAGCCACAACAACGTGCGTTTTCCCTCAATCCGCTCCGGCAGTGGCAGTGCCAGAACAGATTAAGCGTGCTTTTGGCATTTTTTTGCATTCTTTTGCTCATACCACGGTCTCAATATTACTCCACAAACAGGTGAAGATGCCCTTTTGTGGCTTCCAGTTCTCCCAGTGTCGCTCGCTTGGAGGATTCCGCCCTGATTCGACTGGAAGGCCGTTGCCGGATGACATGTTCCAGTGAGAGGGATCGCGAGCCACGCGGATCACGCGGGGGTGGGGAGGCCAAGTGGTTCGGCACAATGACCCAGACCATTCATTCATGTATGAAAAATACATACATTATAACTATATTCCATACATGGATTGTCTGAGCTGGACACGTCCCTCCACCAACCCCTATAGAGGGGGTGCCCGCTTCCCCAACGGATGCCAACGGGCGCCGCCGGTGTGACGACCGCGATGACGAGGCTCCAAAAGGGCAGCAGTGCGTGGGCAGACATGAAGCGGGGGTCTAGTAGCAATGCGCTCGTTACTAGTAGCTCTCCTAGTAGCAATGCCCTTTGCTACTAGTAGCTGATGAACTAGGCGAACTCGGCGGATTGAGCCGGGCCGAGCTTGGGCATTCAACGAAGCATGCCGGATGCTGAGTTCTGTGCATAGCTTTGTGCGTAGCTTGTGAAAGCCTGTAAGACAGAGGTGTTGCTGGTGCCTTGAATCCACGCCTTGGAGTTCTCCAAGAGCTGCAGGACCATTGGAAAATTTGGAACGATCAAAGATCTCAGGTGGTTCCTGTCTCACATATATCCTAAGATCAGGTGGTTCCTAAGATCTCAGGTTGAACCTTTTTTAACACATGCAACTGGGATGTCTCTGTGGCCTGGTTCAGCTGATGCACAGCCGGAAGGAAGATACGTCGCAGTTCATCGATCTGTTCGACACGCCCAACAGACCTGTTTTTCGGTGGCCAAAAAAGCGAACCAAAAAGCGATGCCGACCTCAGGGCAGAAACGACCTGTTGGGGCCCGCTGGTTTTCATGGAGCTCGGTTTTCATGGAAGCCTGATGGAACCCAACAGCACCAACCTGATCTTTCCAAGACCAAGTTCTCCATCACCCTAAAGTCGGCAAGAACTAAAACGCCCACAGAAACGCACCGCAACGGGAACTCCAAGAAGGCATCGCGGATTGATTGAGCAAACACCCTGGCTCCCGCCGCTCTGGTACAAAAGCCGCCATGGTGAAGCCGCCGCCGAAGATGACGACCAAGGTCCCGTCCAAGGCGTTGAGTGTTGGGGAGTCAAAAGGCGAAGAACACTGTGACATGAGTGAACTAGAAACTCCATCACGAGGACGCTAATAGGTTGGAGGCCACCGCGGTCAGTAGGTTGGAGGCCCTCACTAGTAGGTTGGAGGCCACCGCGGTCAGTAGGGCGGAGGCCATTGAATTGCTATTAGAAACTTAAGTCGTCTTGTATGAACCATGGGGGGAACTCTAAATCACAGAGGGAGCTTTTTTGGATTGGCGAATAACATGGGGAAGTTCTAGATCGATGAACATCCGTATGTTCTACGGTAGCTTCAGTTTAGATGGCTCACACACACACCCACACAGAAAGTTTTCAGATTGGGCATCCTGTAAACCATTGGAAACAATATATAATGGGATCTGAAGCTAACAGCCACAGAGCGGGGAAGAGCGGAGGGGAATCTGAACTTCGACACCAGGACAGTCCTTCTGCTTGGCGCCACAGAGGGATTGCCCTGATGATGCACACACCATAAACCCCAATCTTACAGGATCCATTCAAGGGATTCAGGGTCCCAGGGTGGTGCAAGAGCTAAGCAGCTTTTGATGCGACTTCTAGGGTTTGATTTGCCTCAGGTCATTGCTCAAGATCTGCAACATGCGATGCATGTCTTGAGCTCGCCGCATGGCAGCAGTTGCGACCGAGATCGGAGCGTTTGGCTGCGCGACGGAGTGTGCGACTGGCTGCGAGGAGGTTGCATTCTGCTGTCGAGTACATACTAGAACCTGAGTGATGGGTTTGTAGATACTTGAACTGCTCAACACATTGCCTTGTTGTGATTGATGATTAAAAGTTAAAAGCATTAAGGGTTCAGTTCTGGAATCTAATCATTCTAAGGAATACTTTGGATATATAAGGTCGTATAAACTCACGCATTGCATCCGTTCCACCAGATTGCGAGACGCCTTGGACTTCACTGGACGGCTTCAGCCCAGTCAGTCGCGCTGATTCCCGGCTGAATCGGGCTTTCAGCTCCATTCCGCGCACCCCTCCAGGAACCACTGCCACACCGTCGTCCCGTCCGCCGTGCCCCACCGAGGCCCCACCGCATCCGGGGCATGGACCTCAGGCGACCGGGGAGACTGGAGGACTGCTGGTTGAAAAAGTCTCAGGACTTCCAGGAGTTGGGTGGTGAATGGACACCCCGAATCACAGCGAGGGCTCGGTGGTTTCAATAGACACCCCCGAACGAGTCGGGTGGAAGAGATGCAACACCGGAACCGGTCGTCGAAATTGGACCGCAAGGCGCGGTCTTGGAGCCTTGCACTTCGAAGTGCCCAACACCCAGCGCATGAAAAGCGTATCAGCGGACTTCCCCGCGGTACGTCAGGGGTCTTGCACCGGTCTTCACCGGCTGCCCCACCCATGCCTTCCGTGCTTCTGGCGCCCTTCGCGCCAGCGACCCGACCACGTTCTCACCGGTCGCAGGTACCGGAAGATCGGCGACCGAGGCGGCGGGTCGCGGGCGCGTCGCGGGCTCTCGAGGCGGACGAGATCTGTTTTTTCAAACGATACATGGACCTGTGCGACGCGATGCGACGCTCAACACCCACCAGGCAGCGGGGTTCTTTCAATAAGCATGGCGGTGAAAGATGACATTGAACTGACACACCCTGGGACTGGCATGGCAGCTTGAACCAGACCAAAAAGAGAGGGTTCTACTATGTTCATCTATGTTGTATAGAAGATTTTGGGGAATACCAATGGAATCGATTCAAGAGAGAGAGGTGTGATGACTAACGGGCAACACGTCTATGTCACTCTGCTCCGTTCCAACGGACCTGCTTCGTCCTGTGCGAACGGTCGGAGGTGCAGAGTGCCTGGCTGAAGTGTTGTTGGAGAACAGCAGCCTGCAGAGGCTGGAGCGAGGTTAGCCCAGACAGTGTTCCGGGCGAGAGCGAAGCAACAGGCTAGCCGCCCCCGATGTTGGGACCGGATGTTTGGACCGCCTGCCGCTCGTGGGGGATAGGAGGTCCGTGATACGTCCGCGGAGCAATTTGCTCGGTCTCCGATGGTTGTGGAGGGATCCCTTTCGTTCCGTCAAGGAGTCGCACCAGTCAGGGGTGAGGGGTTGGTGTTTTTTTGTTTTGGCAGCTTGGTCATGGTGGTTCTCTCGTTCCGTCGAGACTTGTGACGAAAGCAATGGGCTGGTTCTCCGGGCAGTTCTGGCGCCTGGTACTGGGGCAATGAACACCGAACAGCATTGAAGACCTCAAAATTCAATAAACATATATAAACATATTGTGTAGGTTCAGGGCACTTGCATTGCCCATGACTTGTGTTCATGGGGTGACGATCAATATTTGAACACTGAATCAAAGCAATAACTTACGGTTTTGCGCAGGACTCACGGTTTTGCGTTGGAATTCTTACATAACTCTTCTCTTGAGAATCTCTACGTAGGTTGAAACGCACTGCATGGAGTGATGTTTCCCTGAAGTCTTAGCACATATAGTATATTTGTCGAAGTAGCCGCCCAAAACACTCCCCATGAGTATCACGAGTCCTTTGTGCATCATCAGTGCTACTTGTAGTGGTTAATGTTAATTTTTGTAAGAATCCGGGCCCTCAAATGGAAAGTGCTTTGAGCATCCGGACCCCTACACAAATGTTGGGTCCGACCCCTGCGAAGAGGTCTGGTCCAGGGATATATCAGGGCAGATAACTGTTCATTTTGGAGACGCCCATAGACTCAATATAGAGTCCAAAGTCATGTCGAAATGGAGCCGTGGATAGACCGTGACACACCACTGCGAAGCAAGTCAAAGGAAAAAAAGGCCGATTGGTCTTCAGGGGTGTCTATCAACCTCTAGAGTATCATTTAGAACAGGACCTTCACCGCCCTGTTTTCATTGGAAAGGACACCATCCCCCTAATCCATATCCATCCCGTCCCTTCTCAGCACCCTCTCTGAGGCTGGACTTCAATGGCATCTCCTCGGGGGGCGCGGCTCGTCTGGCCGAGGCCGCTCCGCTCAGCGCTCCGCTCGAAGCCATGGAGTTCCGGGAACCCCCCGGGGAAAAAAGAGCATTGGTGGTTGTACCTGGAACCTCCTGCGGCCACTTGCAACCTTTTGCGGTGACCGCAATGCCGAAGTTGGATGGATTTGCGGAGTGATGTTTTGTGGTTTCTTCTTGTAACCAGGTGCTGGTCAGTCCAGTCAACAGACTGGCACTCTGATGATCGGAACTGGTCTCGTCCTGTCTCATCCTTTTGCTCCAGCGAGCTGCCGTGCGAGCTCCACGCGGGGCACGGCGACGACGAACGGGGGCGAACGACCTGACCTGAACGCGCGACTCGTGCGGTGCGGACTCGGCGGTCGAGGTCCTACCGAAGAACTCCACGCTGACGCACTTGTATCTGTGCCTTGGACGCCAAAGGAGCGATGGTCGTTGGTTCGTCGTCTGTCGTTGGTCGTCGGTCGTTCCTCCGTAGTTGGTTGGGTCGGTGCAAGAAGACAGGAACAACGACGGCAGGGAAGCAGCATGTTTGGCTCCTGCGGATATATACTAGTCAGATATAGTCAGAGGATTTTTTGAACAAAGGGGAAATCACACAGGATCTGAACTGATACAGTACTTGAGGCTCCTTGGTGGCGTTCGACCTATTGCCACCCGTTCGACCTCAAGATGTCGACTAGAAGTTTTAATATGTTTTAACCCTTTTATGGAGGCCATGTCACCATGTCCAAGTTGAGTCGCTCCAAGGCAAGACACGTGAAAACACGGGAAGTTCGTTTCATGTTCTTCCTTTCGGCCCCATCTCCCCCCTCAGCAGCTTCGTCCCGTCCCGCCCCCCCGGTCGTCCGAGGTGCCACAACGCCATCGACGACGAGGGCGCGATCCACCTGGCGTCGGCCCTCGAAGCGGGCTGCGCCCCGGCAGCGGCTGGGTGGGTGTCGGAACGGAGACCGCTTAAGGCGGGGATCGTTCGGTCCGGCCGGGTAAAGCGGTAGGCCGGGGGGTTCCAAGTGCATGGTCTCGGTCTGGCTGCCAATTTTCCATTTTCCATGATTGTTGGAGGGGAGGCTGGGGTTTTACGATATTTTACGTTGATTTCCTAATGTCTCCACTGAAAAGGACCATCAAAGCTAGGGATTAGAGTTTTGACATGTTTTGACCTGTTTTGACCCTCGCTGTTCTCTTTTTGGCCCTCGCTGTTTCGCGGCTCAGGTGCGCTGAATCAGTTGTACCTCTCCGGGAACCGCATCACCCGCCGTGGTGCGACCGCGACGCCTGGCATACCAGGACCCTCCAAGCGGTGTCTAATGGACTACCCCACACTACCTATATAGGCTTCCATTGAGCACCCCTTGGAGGGTCCTGGTAGTAATTAGTAGATCGATCTATAGTAGCAAGAAGCTACTAGGTCGCAAGGTGTGCAGGCTATCGCTATTCAGGTTGGAGGCCATCGCCTGCTATAGTAACTATAGTAGTTGGGGCATGGTCCGACCGAATGCGGACCGAATGATACCGAATGACCTGCAAGGAGGGAAAGCAAGTGGATGCACGTGGCAAGGACCCGCAAGGACAGTAGATCCATTTTCCCCTCGTCGCATCCTCTCGACCGAGGATCTTGGCTGCTTTGCAGAAATCTGGCGCGGTGATAGATATTGACCTCTCCCTTCAGAGCGTGCCAGAGGACTGTATCCAAGAGATCAGGCGGGTCGGGAGGTTGCAGTGGCTTCGGTCGGCCGATGGAAGGACCCAGTGGGGTCGAAAAAGAGAGGCGCCATGCCTCGAGAGAGGCAGTGCATGGGAGAATTCAGAGTTCCAATATGTTCCAACCCATTCTAGATTCTGAAACAGCTCTCTGAACAGAGTCCTGTGCTGCTTCTCCAATGTCATGTCCTCGCCGTTCCGTAGACATGCTTCTCTTTCTCATCTTGCTTTGCCGTCGATATGACTCCAAAGAGGCAGGAAGGACCCCGCTCGACCTGAGCTCTGCAATACTAGTACCAGCATGAAGCAGCCTAAGTACTCCAGTTCCCTTGCATTCCCTTGCGATCCTGGAGCACGGACCTAGAACACTTCCGTACGCCAAGCCCAACTGACCCTCGGGTGTCCCGAGAAAGGCCCAAGAAATTGCTGCCGAATGTCGAGGGTTTGACCGTCTGACCATGCGAAGTTCCTCCAAGGTCGCCCGGGGCCGCAAAGGGGTCGCAACGTGCCCAGCCCCATCCGTCCGTGGTTCGGACCCTTCGAACCCCGTTCCTGCCGACGTTCGAACCGGTTCTTCAGGGCCGCGTTGCTGGCCAACGTTCAGACGAAGGCAGGAAGCGTTTGGTGTCTTTTTCTTCCGTGACGGGTTCCCGGCTCCTGGTGTGGAGGACCTGCTACCTTTGAACAGGTCCCTGCTACAGGTCCCCGACGGTCTCGAGACAGAACCGGGTCGATGGCGAGGGGTCGTCGAGGTCGTCCGGTGGTCCGGTGGTGGTGGGCGACACCTGGTGGCACTTGGCCAAGTCTTGTATGTGACACATGTTTAACAGCTTTGATATTTGGTCTTTGGTGTTCTTGACTGGTAACATTTCCATCAGATTAACAACTGAATTAAGATATCTATATAAAGATTTCAATAGCTGATGGGTGCCACGCAGTTTGGTGGAAAGCGCCTTTGTGTTGCTCCATGCGGGTGGGTACCTAATTGAACGTAGGAGGGTGCAATTTAGACACAAAGGCACACAGTATTTAGCGATGTCCTCCAAAGGGTGTTTCTTTAAAGGAGAGAGAGCTACTCAAGATTCCGTATCCCAGGTGGTGCAAGATGCTGGCTGCTTGTTTGGCTGACCCCAAGGCCCGACCCCCCGCGGCCGCACCGGGCCGCGTCTGCACAGGCGGCGTCCCGAGCGTGAGCGGACCGACTCGGTCCGGGGGCCCGGACCCCGGTTGCGCGGGCCGCGCGGGCGACGCCTCAACGTCTGGACCCCACATGGAGCGATGCTTTGGACCTATCAACGGATGGGAAACCCCGGTGCCCAGAAAACAGCCACTGCTCGAACTCCGTGGCCGGGGTTGTTGGGGCTGTCTTCAGGAGGCGGATGACCAATGCGTTGGACGAAGACGGTGTTCCATCTGGACAACGCCGAATCAGTGAGACATTCTGAGAATGGAACCACTGAATCTTGATGAAGCTGTACACGAACTGATCATCTTGTTGCAGAATATGTTATAGAATATGAATATTGCAATTTGATAGAATCAGATCATCTCACACAACCGGCATCTTTTGCCAGAGCAGCTTGGTGTTTTTTACAGTGTTTGATTGCTATATAGGCTCTAAGCACTTTGAACCCGATCCGATGCTCACCCCCCCCCGGTCAACGCGTCCCTTTCCGAAAGCCCTTTCGATTCGAACGCGTCGACGGTCACCGTCGACGCGTCGTCCGGTGGTGCCGGAACGGGTGCGGTGCGGCGAAGAAGACGGTCCATGGTCTTTGGACCTTTGATTGGCAAGACACGCTTGAGACTTGAGAACTGTAGAGATAGATAGACAGATACTGGTAGATAATATAGATAGATAGATAGATAGATAGATAGATACAGTAGATAGATAGACAGACAGACAGACAGACAGATAGATAGATAGACAGACAGACAGATAGATAGATGGATAGATAAACAGAGAGCGAGAGAGAGAGAGAGAGAGAGTGCCGCGCAACAGGCGTTTGTGGCGGTGTGTAAGAACATGCAAGGACTGACAATCCATTTACATTTTGCACTCCGTTTTAGAGCTGCAGCCTTCCATCGAGAATCAAATGAGGGGATTGTAGGGGACAGAACAAATTCACAAGGCTGGGTGTACTTTGGGGCTATGGGAGATGGGATATCAGATATTGGGCAGTGTTTGACCAGTGGCGGTGCGCGATGAAAGGCAGGCTTGTCAAGGTAAGGCAGGCAGCACCCTTTTGCACTGAAACTAGGGTGAAATGGTTGTCTATCACCCCGTAAAGGTAATAGGGATAGGAGACGGTTCCTATCCTATAGGATTCAGGGTAGACGGTTCCTTTCTATCACCTAGGATGAATTGGTCGTTCCTATCCTGCTCAAAGGTCCTGGGAACATGGGGGGTACCGGAAGCCCCCAAGTCGCATCAGACGCTTGGCGGTGGGGCTGCAGCTGCGTAGAACCCTGGAGCTTCCGGTGCGTAGGGCAAACGCATCCAGATGTATCCACCTAGCTGGATCGTCATTAGTAGAATTTTGCTTCTGCCGGAGGTATCCGCCCTAGCAGTTTTCCATTCCAAGTCGAGCATGACGGTATCCTCTGCCATCGTTCTGGTTACCTTGAGACCGTGGTCTAGAGCGTTCCAGTTGTTAGGTTTGCCAAACCAGGAAGCTCCCTTAGCTCAGTAGATAGGATGGCCATGCCGCGGGGCGTGGCTGCCAGTCGCGTGCCCTGGAAGCCAGTCCGTGCGGCGGAAGGGTTCGCTTGGACTTCCCTTCCGTCGCCCATCGAGACGTTCAATCTATTAGGATCCTCATGATGCATAGCAGAAACGGCCGGGCTCCAGGCAGCAAGCCGCTGGCAGTGTGTTAAGTGCACAGTTCACCTTCTGCCCGCTTGACAGTGGATCCGCGCGGAGAATATGTGTTGCGGGGTGGATCGGGTTGCGCCATGTTGCAAACAAGGTGTTCACCCCATGAGTTGAAGAAGTTGGATACACAATAATTGCAGATAGTATGAAAGTCTTCCATTCATTGTTCTGAAGACGGTTTTCGATACCAAAGTGCTTTTACCTACTTCAGGAAACTTGTTCTATGGACCGCAAGCCTGCCTGCTGTCCCACACCATGCATATATATGTATTATATTGTATTATATATATACACAGATGTTATTTTTAAAAACACTGGCAACCACAAGTCTTAATCAACCCATGCATTCTGAGATTTGTACCCCTAGTTCATCGTAGTTCCATATTTTTGGAGCAGACGCCAGCTGCTTAGGGCTCGTGTTCTCATCGTTGGATAGCTAAACCAAAGATACATTTTTTTTGTGTTCTTTTAATCACAATATATCACACAATGACATAAGATACAATACATCATAGTATATAAATGAATCAATTGCCAATACATGTTGAGAAAATCGATCAATTCAGAGGAACGTTCCTTAATTCGGCCCACATTGTTGCGTCGTTGATTCCTGGATCCAATGTCACCACAACTAAGGGAGTTGTGGCATTGTTTTTCCTTGTGCTGAACTCAGCGCAAGCTTCGGTTGCTTCAGAGCCCCGAGCACCTTAGGTGGACAAAGTGCGGTCTCGGTGATGCGAAGTGCTGATGCGAAGTGCTGCTTGCACACTTGATGCATGCTCGCCTTCAACACATGTTGCAAGGCCTCCCAGTGACTGGGAGGGCAAAGAGACTGGAGCCTCAGATGTCTGAAGGACCATCAGACTGCATCAGCCGACCGTGCGTTGTTGGCGTGGTTTTTCTGGTCTGACTTTGGGCAGCAAACTGCCACGCTGCAGCATCATAGGCAGCTAGAGATGCTAGAGCTTCTGGATGGTGCAGCTTTGCTCTCCGCTGAGATTGGCTCCGAAAGCGAGTAAGGCGATCTGGATTCCACAAGCAATTCCACAAGCAGTCCAGAAGAATCATTCAAGTTCAGAGTTCTGTTAAAGTGTTCTGAATGTTGAAGTGTATTGAGAGAATATAACACATGATGTCCTATACACGATCTCAATTTGTTTACTACTGGCTATACCTGAGCTAAAACTATTGCTTGGAAGTTCAGAAGTGCGGGTTTGCTTCGTCTCGACATAGAGGCTGGAGGCTGGGGGCCTCAGCCAATCTGCACGGTCGCAAGAGAACCGCATCTTCGAGCTATCCATAGCTAGCCTGTCCCTTTTTTGATTTTTTTGGCTGGTGGTGGTTTGCAAGCGGTTTTTGCAATATGTTTAGATTATTGTTTATTTGTCCGTCCCTCTTTGGGAATGGCCCCACGGACACGTGGAAAAAGGCACCCCGGACACGTTAACAGGTGGAAAAGGCGGGTTTCGTCGCTGAGACGGTGGTCGCAGACCCCGGCGGTGGTCGCTCACTCGGAACGTGTACCGATTAGCAGGTGATGGTGACCGATGTACCGAATGCGATGTGATGGGATGCTAATCTTGAAACAACTGATGAGACCCGACGACAAGAACTGCATGGTTCCCTCAAGTCTTTGGGGTTTTCAGACCGACAGAAAGATGCCATGTTTCCGTTTGGTTTCGGCGGTTTTACCCACGCACAGTCACATCCAGTTCACATCCAGTCACCTCTAGTTCGTCACTCGCCGAAGAGTGTTCACAGTTCGGAACCCCGCCGCGGCCGGGCCGTCAATTGGGATCAACTGAGACTCGATCGCACCGGCATTTGTGTCTGGAGAACATTGATTTGAGACATGCATTACTGTACTTTGCTCACATTGAACACATCATTCATTACTCTTCTAAAGAACCGAAGACGCAAAGAACCTTTTGCTCTCTCACGCCGATGTTTGCCCAGCTCAGGATTTGAGGGTCACTGCAGAGGATGGTGAGGGGCCTCAGGCTTCTTGTGGCAGTTTGCAATTTATACCCCCCATGTGAAAACTCTTGGCAAACCAATCTCAGGCGGTTTGGGTAGGGTTTGGTCAAACATTCGGCCCAAGTATGCCCAAGTTGGTACTTGAAACTCTTGAGCAGCTGAGTTTCAGATGCGGGGTACATTTAGCCCAGTTTTCATCGATGAGTGTTTCTGAGGGGTCCGCAGTGGTTCAACCAGCTGTCCAGTGGTTCACCCTTTTTTCTGGAGACACTCGTGAACGGGTGAAACCGTGTTGGTGTGACTGGCCATAACTGGTGTGACGCTCAGAGTCACCGGTGATCACATCTGGGAGCCACCGTGCCAACGTTTCCTTCCAGCTGCGAGCCACGAAGCTGCGCGGATTCGACGTTCAGAATCTGAGGTGGAAACTCATCTCCGGCGGTCAAACACATTCGAAGCATGAGAAAGATCATGGTGTAACACCCAACATTGTAGCTTGTATACTGCTTGGGTCTGTCCGCACTTACCTGGTAACAGTCAGTAAACAAGCAAATCACTATTTTTGAAGAAAGGCCTGCAACTGAACCATCATCATCCACTGTTACAGGATAGACCCAATGTATACATACTACTTGTAGCCCTTTGCATGCACATGTGAAAGACAATGTCGAAGTTGCTTGTTGAGATGATCCTTTGTCAAGGCCATCTCGAAACGTGTCACCCACACCGTGGCCTTGTCCAGGTCCTCGGCCTTGTCGCGAAAGCACGCACTTGGTCGATTGAAGCGGGGTGATGTCGTTTTCAGGTCAGGGACCGTAATCTTCCAGTTCAAGGGACCCGTGATGTCGAATGGAATGGAATTGACATTGACCTCGAAACCATCTGAACCTGCGAAGGCGAAACCAGACACCAAGCTGCTGCGAACCTCCTGGACACCTCTGCACACCGCTGTGAACCGGTCAGAAGCCGCTGCGCTGCGAACTCTGAGGCTTGGGACCACTTCGACGAGGCGACGAGGCGACCACGAGCGACCATGCGGGTCGTGGGTCGCGGAGCGGGTCGAGTGTCCTCGTGGGTGTTTGGGTCGTTGATGGGCAAGTCTATTAGAGAGTTTCAAGAGATGACAACTGACTTTCTTGTGAGCTAGGATTCCCTATAGGATTCCAACCAGGATTCCAAGCATGCTTGATTTGAGGGTGCCTACCAAACTGCCAGTTTAGACAAAATCCAGGTCAAGATTTCTTTCCATGGTCTTGGAAGGCTAGGGTATAGTCATCATAGATGATTTCTCCAGGTTTCAGTTGAATTGAAACTCGACTAAAACAGCAAATACAGTGAAACTGTTCCGGCCTAGTGTGGGGGGAAAAACGACTCGGTAGCACCGCTCAAGATCGCATCACTGAGCCACTGCAGCAGGAATCACAGATACATCACCAGAGCAGTTGGAATCTGTTGGACATCTTTTTGAGGAGTCGCACATACGACGCGCCCACCCGAAGCCTCATTCCTTCCCCCCCCAGTCTCCAAACGTCTCCAAATGTCTTCACCCGGGTGGCGGCCGTGAACCCCGAAAGGTCACCGCGCCGAATCGGCCGGCGCCGCGGCGCCTTCCGCACCCGTCTTTCGGTGGAGTCGGCAGGGAGCCCAACTGCTGGGACACGGCAGCGCCGGTCTTCATCCTAGGCCGAGCCGGAAGTGTTCACCGGGGGGAGGCGAGGTGTTGGAGAAGGTGTTAGAAGGTAAGATGGATGCCACCCCCAAAACCAGGAAGCGAGCTCAGCGGAAGAAAAGACGGCGACGAAGACTTCTTAGTTGTTTATAGAGACAGGGTCCATCTCACGAAATATTTCAAGATTCCATAAGATTCCTACCCTCCTTTTAAAACGCACCACTTTGGTCTTCCAAAAAGGTCATTGACGCTTCTCCACTCGTTTGGTGTTCTCCGAGGGAGTGTTCACCGGTCCTCTCCTCCGCTGTCCTCGCAGCTGCAGGCGCCGACGGTCAAGCGCACGAGACGCGGCCGACCACCTCGCTGGCGGCCGACTTGGCCAGGCGAGACGGGGGAAGTGGGGGAAGGAGGGTGGGTGTTGAGGGACCAGTTGAGGGATATGCCTTGGGCTCTGGAACTGGAAACTGGTTCTGGAAGTCAGGAACATGGCTGAAAAGGGGAAGATGGAGCTTTCTGGATCGCGACAGATGTGAGTACAGCTCAAACGCATCAGATCGTGGCTGGTGTGACTCCCCAAAGTAT